GTTGCTATGGAAATAGCAAAAATGCCCAAAAAATCAAAATGCTCCAAAATAATCGAAATTCCACGCAAATGTTAATTGGCATATGCAAATGTTCAATTTGACTTTGGAATTTCTAAAATAGCCGCCGTTACCATGGAAACACAAAAAATGTCCAAAATTTCAATATGCTCCAAATTTAATGAAACTTCACACAAATATTGACTGGCATATGCAGATGATCAATGAGACTTTTGAATTTCAAAAATGGCCACCGTTACCATGTAAACAGCAAAAATGTCCAAAATTTCAAAATGCTCCTAACCTAATGAAACTTTACAAAAATTTTAACTGGCATCTGTAGATTCGCTGGTTGACTTTGGAATTTTCAAAAATTATCATGGAAAGCATTCGAAAAAATATAAAGTGCTTGAAAATTAATGAAACTTTACAGAAATGGTTATTGGCATGTCATTTGACTTTGGAATTTCCAAAATGGCCGCTGTTATCATGGAAAAAGCCAAAAAGTGAAAAATTTAAAAATGCTTCAAAGTTTTTGAAATTGACAGAAATATGTGTGCTTGAAAGTGCATTCACAAGTCTAGCTATAATTATTTTTGTACTTGTCTTATAAGGGCTCATTAATATGTCATATTGTTCATTTTTTCATAAACATACTATCGACAAACATACCACATCTTCTTATTTATAGACAATCATACTATAGATAATTATTCCACATCTTCTTATTTATAGACAATCATTCCACATCTTCTTATTTATAGACAATCATTCCACATCTTCTTATTCATAGACAATCATTCCACATCTTCTTATCTTTATACAATCATTCCACATCTTCTTATTTATAGACAATCATTCCACATCTTCTTATTTATAGACAATCATTCCACATGTTCTTATTTATAGACAATCATTCCACATCTTCTTATTTATAGACAATCATTCCACATCTTCTTATCTATATACAATCATTCCAAATCTTCTTATTTATAGACAATCATTCCGCATCTTCTTATTTATAGACAATCATTCTGCATCTTCTCTTCTATATACAATCATTTTACATCTTCTTATCTATATACAATCATTTCACATCTTCTTATTTATAGACAATCATTCTGCATCTTCTTATTTATAGACAATCATTCCACATCTTCTTATTTATAGACAATCATTCTGCATCTTCTTATTTATAGACAATCATTCCACATCTTTTTATTTATAGTCAATCATTCCACATCTTCTTATTTATAGACAATCATTACACATCTTCTTATTTATAGACAATCATTCCACATCTCTTATCTATATACAATCATTCCACATCTTCTTATTTATAGACAATCATTCCACATCTTCTCATCTATATACAATCATTCCACATCTTCTTATTTATATACAATGATACAATAGACAATCATTCCACATCTTCTTATATATAGACAATAATACCACATCTTCTTATTTTTATAAAATAATTTTATACAAACAGCAATTGTTACCGTATGGCAAAGATATTGTGATCCTCCAGTTCGACTGACTTGTCAACTCGGAGAATATATGCATATAATTACCGCATTCTATGGAGATGTTGACTGTTCTAGCATGGGTGCATTTTTTGATACTTCTACGGCTAGTTGTGGAAAAATGGTCGACATTAGCTTTTGTGAAGGCCAGACAACCTGTGATATACCAAACTTTTCCATGTTTGACCCATCTAGCTGTCCGGCTGGATCTGATAATAATCTATTTGTTCACCACGATTGCTGTGAGTAAATATAATGTACATATCAATATCAAGTTCTAATTTACCTTTGTCGCAATCAGATTTAATACCTTGTTTTTAATCTTCTTCCAAAAGTTGGAAATCTAATGTAATGATATAATTGATGTTCAACTGAAAATATTCTAAGATGTAACTGTCCGGAGCACATGAGTCAGCTTCCAATTTCTGTCGTCGTTCATGATCCTAAATCATATTTCCTTGTATAATTTTTGTGCACTGTTTATATATGTTGTGTACAAGTTATTATTTTGTACAAATTATAATTTGTACAAAAAAAATGTTTAAATTATAATTTGTTTTTTGACTTTGTACAAATTGTATGATCGTGCTCCAATTGATCCTCGAAATATCTTAGGTGTAATTATTGAATCTGGAGAATTTGGGTACCACATTGGAACAGCTGTAGGAATTTTAACAGGATGTTTGTCGAGAAATCATATTGAAGCTGTTAAAGATTCATCTTTATTCGCAGCAACGGTTCTTGAGCTTCAACATTCGCTACGTGAAGCAGTTAAAAGGCTTTCAAAAACTGGTGGTCAGGGGTTTCTTTCATGCAAATGCAAAGGCGGGTGCTGCACTTCTAAATGTAAATTTAAAAAAAACAAAAGATGTTGTGCAATTCCCGATGCCATAATACTCTCACATGCTCAAACAATGATACAGAACTGTTTTTGTATTTTGTAAATAAGGTTTATTGTGTGATCATTGAATAAAAATTCTATAGTGTGTATCAATGCTTTTTTATAACAAAATGCATACTATAAATTATTGTACAAGTTATAAGTGAATTTAAGTCAAATGTTTTGTACAAATTGTAATTTGTACAGGCACTTTTTGTACAAATTACAATGTGCACTAAGTCAACATACAAATTATAATTTGTACAAAATGATAACTTGTACACAACATATATACCAATTAGAATATGCAACGGGTGCAAATGTCGACGCCCATATCCATTAGTCCGACGCACATACTTATTTTTTGTTTTTTTAGTTTTTATGTTCTAATCAGATTGGTACCGATTATCAGGTCGAACTTATCAACGTCGGTTCATACATTATGACATCGCTGATATGTCCAGGTCAAAGTTATTAAGGCCGGGTCAACGTATTTGACGTCACAAAGCCGTGATATGCAATTTTATTAAGAGCTGAGCAGAGTGATACAGACAGTGGGACGTCCGATAATAAACTTTATCGTATCTCATTTTATTTAGAGTGTGAACTTTATCATATATCTTTCAGATCAGAGTGTGAACTTTACCATATCTGATTTTTAATTTTTTTTTAAAATACAATGATCGATTGAGAAAAAGGAAACCCTACTTTAGAAATGTTAAAGGTACAATATAATAAATGACAAAATGTCTCTATCTATCAACTAAAGTAACAAAAAGATATGTCGTGCAATGTCCATATCATGTCACGTCACTTTTCTTCAAAATCTGGGGTTCGCTTTGCCTTTGAAACCGGAAAATAAGTTTTATTTTTATATTAACATTTTCATAAGTATAACTTAAACAATTTTTAGCTGCAAAAAAAAAAAAAAAAAAAATATTAGGTGAATATGTTAGAAAAAAAATATCAACTTTTTTTATTCGGCACGAAACTGTTGAAGGGTACGGAAGCCGATAAGGGTCATTCAAAATTATTTATTTATGTCGTAATTACGACATAGTATGTCGTAATAACGACATCGCTATGTCGTAATAACGACATATTATGCGGAAATAACGACATCGCTATGTCGTAATAACGACATCACTATGTCGTAATAACGACATATTATGTGGAAATAACGACACCGCTATGTTGTAATAACGACATCCTTATGTCGTAATAACGACATAAGGAGGTCGTTATAACGACATCTATATCGTAATTACGACATCGCTATATCATCTATAACGACAACCTTAGAGAATTGCTACTTTGTGAGCATCGACACACTATGGGAAACTTATCAGAATTGAATCAAACTTGATATACGTGTGCACTATAAGGTCCTATTCAAGTGTTGCTTCTTAGTTACCCATGGGTCCAAAGTTTAATACAGGCTTCAATGGGGAGTACGCTGTAAGAATCTCATTAAGAACTAACAGTAGCAATGCAGTTATAATTTGCATCAAGCATCAGTAGGCCATTAAGATGCAATTGTGTACAAATGAAGGTACATAGGTCCATGGGTCTGAGCACTAGGAGTCCAAAGTTTAACATAGTCTTTATTTGGAAAAGCTTAAAATTCATCTTCTTCAGAATGTGCAATGGAAATGCAGTCATATTTTACACGAATCTGTACATGCCAAACATAACTAGAAGCTCCAAGGAGCCTGCATCGTTCCCCTGTTCAACTAGGTCTCATTTGACTTGATTATAAAATAAAGTTCTAGTATGTGTAAGTAAATAACTTTAATTAAGCTTGATTGCATTTAGTGTTCATTATTCTCCAAAAAAGATGAATTTTTTTACGCTTCAAACTTTGGCCTCACTGACGACCATTTTGAATTTTCTATCGCCTCAAAAAGTGACAACGCTAAGGTTGTCGTAATTATGACATAGCGATCATGAGCCTGTAATTCATTGGTTGTCGTTTGTTGCTGTGTTACATATTTGTGTTTTGTTCATTTTTTGTACATTAATAAAGCCGTTAGTTTTCTCGTTTGAATTAAATTGTTTAACATTTGTCATTTCGGGGCCTTTTATAGCTGACTATGCGGGGGCTTTGCTCATTATTGAAGGCATTATGATGACCTATAGTTGTTAATTTTTGTGTCATTTAGTCTCTTGGTAATCATAATACATACTCTTTGTTTATATATATAGCGATGTCGTTATAACGACATCAGGATGTCGTTAATACGACATAGCGATGTCGTTATTACGACATAGTGATGTCGTTATTACGACATGCTATGTCGAAATTACGACAAAGTTATGTCGTTATTACGACATGCTATGTCGTAATTACGACATAAATTATTTTTTTCGAATGACCCTTATCGGCTTCCGTAGAAGGGTTCGGCTTACCTCGCCCTTCCCAAATTCCTACCCTCATACAAAATGTTGATTGTTTGTTTTTTTTACATTGACCTAATATTGTAAATGTATCAACATAACTTGAATATATTTGTAAACAAACACTGATATCTCTACTTATAAATAATGAAAATAACACTTAAGAATAACCCAGGACATACAATTTGATATTTCCTATGTACTTTGTTTTAGTAACACCACTTCTAGAAGTTGCGGGTAAGTATCTTCCCATGTCTTGCTTTTATACAGCAGCACATCAATACAGTTCATTAAACTTTAAAGGAAATCTGTTATTCTTTTTCAATTACATGTCATAAATCAGAAGTTTCAATAAAAACTTCATGAAAATTCTATGAAAGGTCAACGCAACACTTAGCATTTACATATTCGTTTTGATTTTCTGCTTTAAATATATTACAGACTTCCTGTGGGAAGGCAAAATGTTGCTTAAGAAATCATATAAATATAGTTTTCACCTCAAGGAAACTGATTTAAATCAAACTCAAGCCAATAGATTTATATAAGAACACGGCTCTTATTTCTTATCCTTTTTTTATTACATCACATGTTCCATGATTTGTACTTGTTTGAAATCTCATTTCTACATTGTCAATAAAGTCTGTTGACACTAATATAACAAGAAAAGATAAAATCGGAAGGCACTTAAGTTGGTTTAATATTGTATATTTATACTGATTTGTTCAAGTCCAAATTTTGAGTTCATGACTATATGTATTGTACATGTTTTTTCCCTATAATTTATCATAAGGATTACCGGGGCCGCCAGGTATGCAAGGCATGAAAGGTTTGCCAGGTGAAGGAGCAAAAGGAGTTATAGGGGAGAAAGGAAATACAGGAATAGTCGGTACTGCAGGTACGTAAACATCCCTACTTTTTCTCTTACTCGCTTATTTCATTTTCCAGTATAGACATTTGATATATTCCTTGTTTTTTGTACATGACTGACCATAACTGAACGAATGTTTAATATAATACCTACCAAACTAGCTCAAATTAGAAATATAAACGAATTAAAAAAAAAACCTATAGTAATCTGTTTTATTCACAATGTGTGAACTGATTTTAAAATATTGAAATCGTCAAATCATTGAATTTTTTTAAATATCTTATTAATTTATAAGTGCAAAAGGTATTAAACTATATCTTATATTGTCCTATTTGTGTGCGAGTATCTAACTGTTGATGATTTTGAGAATTTTTCAGTTTTATTTAGCTGTCCAATAAAGTACAAAAATATACACATTTTTTTATCAAGTGATTTTACAATTTTCTTTATTTCGATACAGAACTTTTTATTTAAATTTCACTCTTTGAAAAACACCCCAAAATCGACCTTGTCACAATTTAGCTCATAATGTAAAGAAAGCAAAACCTCTCGTTGGTCTCGTGAGAGTATGTTGACACCTAGAGTGCGGGTGATCATGAGTTCGATTACATTAAGGTCGAACCAAACCAATCAAAGTTTGTCTGCTTCTCCGATAGTCACGTTAGTTTGAGAAGTAACAGCAAACACTGATCAGGCTGGGAGAAAGAATAATGTCTTCCTGCATACTGTTACCTTGTAAGTTAGTTCGTTAAAAACCAAACTCAGCGTACCGGTTTATTAAAAGCAGGGCTTCAAAAGGCTATGGCCATATGACTGCATGTTGGCATTTATTTATCTCAGCATGTCAGAATGTAAAAAAGAAATATAAAAGAAATATAAATACATATATTTGTTTAAATTTTAGCTAATTTGCATGTAGCAAAGGAAATATATCACTTAAATATAATCCTATTCTTATGGAAAACCTTTTGATAATGATTTTGGGCATACAAAGAGCAGCCAAATTTGTCTAAAACTAACATTGCCTGAGAGAAATCCAAACATCTGTGTTACTGCAGTTATATACACTGAACATTTACAATAGAATTATTTTATTTAGATAAAACCTGTAGCAATCACTGCCAAATGATATCCTACATTCAAAAGCAGCAGAGTGTAATTACTGCTTTTGATAATAGGTTTTACAGAATAGCTTTCATTATTTTGAGTATGCAGCACGCTACAAAGTCTCAGGACAATATGTTTATCAATTTTGAGTTGATTGATAGAACGATAGAATAACTTTTCTCAAATTTTGACACGTTTTTTGTTTGTTTCATCAATTTAGAAAGTATTCAGAAATTTAGGATCTAACTCACTCAGGCAAAGTTGACATTAGTGAATTTGACCATTCCTATTAAGGTTCTAACTACCTCAGACAAAGTTAACATTAGGTGAATTTGACCATTCCTATTAAGGTTCTAACTCCCTCAGGCGAAGTTGACATTAGGTGAATTTGGCCATTCATTTGAGATCCGCGTTGGTCATATAGCTCCTCAGATATTCATACATCCTAGGATTTAAAATTTTTGGACTGACCGTCCCTCCAAAATTCGTAATCCAGGAAAGCGCTTCGAATCTATAATGTGCAATGTACCGTTAATATATTACTTGTAACATTTCTTTTAAGGAATGAAAGGAACAAAGGGTTTTCAGGGTACAAGGGGCCAGAGAGGTGATCGAGGTAAAACAGGAAGTCAGGGATTGGCGGGGAGACCTGGTGCTCCAGGACTAAAGGGACTAAAGGGTTTTAAAGGAAACAAAGGATTTAAAGGTAATAAGGGAATGCAAAACAATGGACAGAAAGGACAGAAAGGAAAGAAAGGTTACAAAGGACAGAAAGGGAATAAAGGTTACATGGGACAAATAGGAGAAAAGGGATTCAAAGGATTGAAAGGACACAAAGGATACAAAGGACAAAAGGGATATAAAGGCTTTAAAGGAGAAAAAGGCTTTAAAGGCGAAAAGGGAAAAAAGGGCGCGAAAGGATACAAAGGGCAAAAAGGATATAAAGGCTTGAAGGGAAAAAAAGGATTCAAAGGCTACAAAGGACAAAAGGGATCAAAAGGACATAAAGGAATGAAAGGAAACAAAGGAATCAAAGGAGATAAAGGATACAAAGGTTATAAAGGTAAGAAAGGATTCAAAGGTTACAAAGGTCAAAAAGGAAATAAAGGGTATAAAGGAATGAAAGGTAACAAAGGAATGAAAGGACGAAAAGGATTGAAGGGATACAAAGGCCAGAAAGGTTATAAAGGTTTCAAAGGACAGAAAGGATATAAGGGGATAAAAGGTATCAAAGGAGCAAAAGGCACAAAAGGATATAAAGGACATAAAGGACAAAAAGGAAATAAAGGTCACAAAGGAAATAAAGGATTAAATGGTAATAAAGGACAAAAAGGATTCAAAGGATATAAAGGACAAAAAGGATATAAAGGAAGCAAAGGAATAAAAGGCTATAAAGGCTACAAAGGACAAAAAGGTGCTAAAGGACAGAAAGGGTACATTGGAAGCAAAGGGTTGAAGGGATACAAAGGATACAAAGGACAAAAGGGATACAAAGGTGGCAAAGGGGAAAAAGGTTATAAGGGTATCAAAGGTCATAAAGGATACAAAGGAAACAAAGGTACCAAAGGATTAAAAGGATACAAGGGACAAAAAGGAACTAAGGGGTATAAAGGACAAAAGGGATACAAAGGTGGAAAAGGACAAAAAGGTTATAAAGGTTATAAGGGTCGTAAAGGTTATAAAGGTTTTGTGGGACAGAAAGGGAGCAAAGGCTATAAAGGAAACAAAGGAAACAAAGGTCAAAAAGGAGAAAAAGGATATAAAGGGTTAAAAGGACAGAAAGGATACAAAGGTTATAAGGGACAGAAAGGTTACAAGGGTAATAAAGGAATGAAAGGTTATAAAGGTTATAAAGGGCAAATAGGAAATAAAGGTAACAAGGGACAAAAAGGGAACAAAGGATACAAAGGAACGAAGGGAATTAAAGGTAACAAAGGACAAAAGGGTTACAAAGGTTACAAAGGACAAAAGGGTAATAAAGGATACAAAGGGCAAAAGGGCAACAAAGGATACAAAGGAATGAAAGGATACAAAGGAAGTAAAGGTCAAAAAGGATATAAAGGAAACAAAGGACTAAAAGGTTATAAAGGCGGAAAAGGACAAAAGGGATATAAAGGATATAAGGGAATAAACGGAAAAAAAGGTCACAAAGGACAAAAGGGACTTAAAGGATATAAAGGGATTAAAGGATATAAAGGTTACAAAGGACATAAGGGATATAAGGGCAACAAAGGAATAACAGGATCTAAAGGTATACAAGGACAAAAAGGGTCAAAAGGAGTTAAGGGACAGAAAGGATATAAAGGCAACAAAGGAACTAAGGGATACAAAGGCAAGAAAGGCCAAAAAGGATACAAAGGATACAAAGGACAAAAAGGTGTTAAAGGATTCAAAGGACTGAAAGGTTATAAAGGTAATAAAGGACAGAAGGGATATAAGGGAAGCAAGGGAAAGAAAGGTTACAAGGGATACAAAGGAGTGAAAGGATTAAAAGGAAACAAGGGTCAGAAGGGATACAAAGGCTTTAAAGGCCAAAAAGGAGTTAAAGGATACAAAGGTCAGAAAGGATACAAGGGTTATAAGGGAACAAAAGGATACCAAGGTTTCAAGGGACAGAAAGGGAACAAAGGGAACAAAGGAGAAAAAGGATATAAAGGAAATAAAGGAATGAAGGGATACAAAGGATACAAAGGACAAAAGGGAATGAAAGGTTACAAAGGGCAAAAAGGTTTCAAAGGTTACAAGGGTCAAAAGGGATATAAAGGCACCAAAGGCACAAAAGGTTATAAAGGATATAAAGGACAAAAAGGATATAAAGGTAACAAAGGACAGAAAGGATCGAAAGGTTACAAAGGACAGAAGGGATACAAGGGAAACAAAGGAATTAAAGGATATAAAGGAAATAAAGGACAAAAAGGACTTAAAGGAAAAAAAGGTAATAAAGGCTTCGAAGGACAAAAAGGTTACAAAGGCTTTAAAGGACAAAAAGCAAACAAAGGATACAAAGGAACTAAGGGATTAAAAGGTGTCAAAGGTCAAAAAGGCTATAAAGGTTACAAAGGTCAAAAAGGATATAAGGGTAATAAAGGAGTGAAAGGCAATAAAGGATATAAAGGACAAAAAGGAAATAAAGGATTTAAAGGCAATAAAGGAGAAAAGGGCAATAAAGGTATCAAAGGATATAAGGGTGTCAAAGGAATGAAAGGAAATAAAGGATATAAAGGATTTAAGGGACAGAAAGGTTACAAAGGTCAAAAAGGATACATGGGCGATAAAGGTTACAAAGGACAAAAAGGTTTTAAGGGACTGAAAGGAAACCTAGGAGATTTAGGGAAAAAAGGACAAAAAGGAACTAAAGGAGCAAAAGGCAAATCTGGTTTAGTCGGGGAAGAAGGTGTTCAAGGACCGCGAGGTAAATATAGCATACTAAATTATTACTGTTTTGCTTTGAAGGGATAGCTATACTACTAGTATTTACTGTGGGGAAAGGGATTTTATTGATTATCTTCGATTCCCCTAGAAGCTGGGAGATTATTGATATCATTAGATGTCAGAGAAACCAATAATATAGCTGTTTACATGCAAATGTTAAATACAAATATAGTTTAAAATATGTGAAATAATTATATCATAGACTGAAAACCCATTCATAGGTTAAAACATATAGGATAGCATGTACTTATTTTTGGTCGGATTAGGTATTGTTGTATTTGACTTTCAAGCAGCAGTTATCTTGTTTTAATGTATAGTCTAAGACATGTGTTATACATGAATGTGTTTTGTCTGATTTGTAGTTTCAATTTTTTAACTTATTCGAATCAAGATGAATGTTTTATTTTTTATCTGTATTTATAGACAGAAAATCCGAGGTGTACAAATCAAATAAAACTCGTATGATTACCTACTGCAAATTCATATAGAGTATAAACACCGTGGTATAAGCAGGAAGATCACTTGTCGTATGAAATCTCTATTCTAAAATGAAATAGGGAGCAGTTACAAAGGTCAAAAAGAATATAAGGGTGTCAAAGGAGTGAAAGGCAATAAAGGACAAAAAGGATATAAAGGCATTTGGTTTTGCTTCTTATGGAGTTTATGGAGTTTATTGGATTTACTCAGGTTTTGTTTGGCTGTGCATGATGTATAAATTCGCATTCTTTCTGAATACGGACAATAATATGATGCCTCATGTAAGGAGAGTGCAACAATCAAACTTCCGTAAGTTACCTGTTGCAACAATTCTATTCCTATCCAACATACCTTCATTTCACGCGACAGTCGAAAGAGCCTCTTGTCCTTTATCTAACTCAATCCATTGCAAATTTTACCAATTTGATTATTATCAACTTTTCTGGTCCTAAATATGCATGAACTATTTTCTACTAACCAGAAACAAACAGTAATCGGTCATTAAAAACATCTTCCCTGTTCTCTGCTTCGTTTTACACACATCTGTGTTGAATCTCGATTTTCTGAAAACTCATTTGTAAATTTGTCCTATTTAAAGAACAATTTGTCCTTCTGCCATCATGACAAGAAGATCATAAATTACTATCTGACATACAAAGTGAGTACATACTTGAAGTAATTTTACTAAAAAGAACAATTAAAAGATATACAAAATTTCCCAGCTGGTATTTGAATAATAAAAACTTAGTTATACCGAACCATTACTTATTTTCTTTCGAGCTAGTGTGTATTTGTCATATGCATCTAAATGATATCTTTTCTATTAACATATAATGAATAGGCAATTTGTTGAATTTTATTTCAAAATTTCAATCATTTTTTTCAAAATGACTAGGTATTTTATATAATGCCAGTCAAGGTTCGACATTTTATAAAATGCCTGTAACAAATATGAAATCAAATTTCGTTAAAAAATGCCAATACTCTGAGTTACACAATTGAATTTCACAAATTGTAACGACAACGTTCATTATCCTACCGGTTTCACCTTCTATTATCAAGGATTATATAAACATATATGTTTGTGTGTGTGTTTGTATGTGTATTACAATTTCATTATGTACGTCAATGTCTACATTCGAAAGTCATTATTTACTAAATTTGTTTAAGGTGACCGGGGTGATAAAGGAGAAAAAGGAATGAAAGGACTGGTAAGTTGTAAAGTATCTTATTACTTTACCTCATACTTTACTTGTAGAAAGAATATCAATGATATTGCATATTTCGTTGAAAGTTGAACATGCCTGAATATTTTTGTCAGATTGTTTTCTACGAATTTACTTGTTCCTCTTATTACAACGCTAAAGTGATTCTGCAGGATTGACGTTGTCAGTATTTTACATCCGTCCAAACATTATTTGCACTTTGCTTATTTTGCTATAATGTAGCCAATAAGTTCTCTGGCCAAAAATAAATGTAATAAAAACAAACGACCATGTTTCTTGATGTCTGAATTATAATTCATCATGTTTTGCTGAAGATAGCTGCATTGCTGTTGTTCAATCTTTGTTTTTATTTGACGAAGTCTCAAAACGGATTATTTCAGGTTAATACATTAAGACAGATTGCACTATTTGTAAACATATATTGACACTGTAGTATTAGATATTGCTTGATCGGTATTATTATTATCCTTTATATTAGTATCCTTCAATTAATTTAGTGATGTGTAAGAACCGATTTCTGTTATACGTTCCTCTACGCACGCTTTCAACCACCTATTGAGTTTAAAAAAAATGGGTTAAGTGCTAAAAAAAACTAGTTGACCACATCATATCCACTGTTTGCCAAGTTATGTACGATTTCTTTAGTTCTATTCTTTTGTCTTTAAGATAATTGGTGGATAATTGTAATCTTGATTACCTTTTTCTGTTCTGTTAATGTAGAAATACAACAAGACCTTTGTGATCTATAATAAATATTTTAACTACGCATCATGTTCAAATGTTCAAATGTTCAAATGCTGCTCTTAAGTTAGTTACCATGTCAGTGGTTGTCTCTTGCAATATCTCATTTGCTTCTCATAAGTGAAATGTGGTATTGTCTGTAGATCTTTACGCGTTCAATACCTGGACATGTTGAAATCATATTTTGGTAACCTGATGCTCATCTATTTATGTTGTTATGTTTTTTGTGTTGTATTTTACTGTCCGAAAAGTCAGTGATCGCAGAGATGTGTGTATTTCTCACAAACATTGCTAAAACTTTATTATGACTATTTCAACCAGGTTGTTTTTGAAGGGGTCATGTTGCTCAATCTGTAGATTGTGATGAAGTGTTTTGTGAACTTTCAAATGGTCTTTTTATCTTTAAGGCATGATGTTGTCTGCCAATTTTCGACTCATAGTTTTGATTGCTAACTTGGTAATTTCTCCAGGTGTTAAGGTCCAGTAAAACTTGTAAGAAAGTGTTCAGACTCGTCAGTTGTTTAAGTGGCCTTTAGATAGAATATCAGATGTTTTTTTATGATTCATTACTAACTTCTATAAACCATTTTGAAGGTTAACATTTATAAAGTGCTATTTTCATTTTCCAAAGCAGTCTTAAATCAAGAATATCTTCATCATATATAAGCATATAATTACGATGTTAACGACACGTAACTGTTATTACCTTCATGAGGTACGCTTTATAGAAAACGTTTGGCAAGTTGAACTCTACATTACTTGTATAACCTTCATGAGGTACGCTGGATATAAAACTTTTGGCACGTTAAACACATAAAAGAGAAAACAAAAGGCAGACAGGAAAGGACATACAATTGCATATCGTATTATAGAATTAAATAACTGTAGCATGTAAAATGACAGATTGTGATAATGCAAAACTTTCGCAATTGCTACAAGTTCACCAGCAGTTCCATATAAGTTGTTTTATGGAATGATTATACCCACAGCTGTGTACACGACACACCACGACACATGTTTTTGGGACTATCCTGTATTTTAATTATTAATTATACTATACTTTTCAAATTGTTCGATAATAAAACATTCCTATTGTCTGGAAGTTTAACAATTACTAGTATGATTGAAAGAAATTGGTTGAAAATATCTCTCCTTCAGTTTCAAATATAGTCTGTCAAATAGAATGATTATTTAAAGTACGACACTGTCACATTCAGTTCAGCAAATTTTAATGCATTAAGATGTTTTTATATTTCACAACTAAATTAGGTCTAATCAGTAGAAAGTGTGCAATTTTAGTACAAAACATAGTTTGTCGTCATTATTCATCTTTTGTTTTGTACGAAATACTTAAGCATTATTGGTGACTTTACTTCTGAGAGCACCCAATAGTTATGATACATTGGAATAGAACGGATATTGGATATCAATTCACGACACAAAATAAATACATGCACATGAAAATTTAAAAAAAAAGCAGAGGAACAACACATTTTATGATGTTCTTCATCTCAAAGTCAAAGCAAGACATTTGCATTAATCAAATGTTAGTATTTCATTTATCATTAGCTTTTAGTGAAACGGCTTTATAAACTTTTATTTTATCTCAACTACTTTTTTTTTTATAAAAAACAAACAAGCAAAAACATGTGTTTACATTTATTTGCAGAGAGCTGAGTGACAATAAACAACAGTTATAGTTTGTATATAGTAGGTAAAGTATTAAATTGTTTGCCTGCCCCTCCCCCCAAGATAACATGTTTACACATACCTTTTTGATAACCTTTTTTATGCATGATATGCATTTGTTTAATCGAACGGCCATTTTGATCCCAGTGCTATTTGAAAAGTCTTAAGATTACTAATTAAATAAATATATCCTTTACAGTTATAATCGTGCATTTAATATGTTTTATTAAACATTAAAAGCATAATTTAACAGATCGATGTTACCACACACGTACATTAAAATTGATCTATTGAAAAACAAATATTTGAAAAGTTACTATTTTTTGGACATGTGATTTTGAATATTTTGTTTATGGTAAGACAATTCTTAATAAAGATAAAGGAAAATAAAGTTTTCCATTACCTACTATTAACTACATCATGTTTTGAGAACAAACAAGTTGACAACTCAGTGAAATGTTGGGGATAAGACTAGTGAAAACAAACAAAAACAAAACAGAATTCAAAAATGTCAAGTCCTTAATGCAAGTGAAAACTGTTTTCTTATTCAGAAATGCTGATGTAACAGAAGAAAAATATAAGGAAACATTGAATGATAAAACTTTGCTTTAAGATATGTTACACAAAAAACCTCGATTATTATCTTGTGCATTAACTAGAGGTTTATTTTGTTCTTGTATGTAGGTACTCGCTTTCAAATTCAAAGAAGTGCAAATATACTCGATTTGAACACGATTTTGGAATATAGTCATGATCTTTAATACATATATTTTGTTAACATTTATAAAAAATATTGATTTCACTTTTTAATTAAATAGATATAATCGGCATATAAGCACAACTACTCAAATATCAACTGTATTGACGATGATGTAAAGAATACCGATTATCGACATGGACAGACAACGATACTACGACTTCAAAATGGAGCACATTTATAGCTGAATTAACAACATTCCGACAAAGATAAAAACTGTACCTTAATTATATTTCTGACTACTGTTATATATAAAAACTAATTATTAAATATGAAAAATTATTAGATGATACATACAGATTTTTATTCTCCACCCCGTTAGTTGGTTGATAATATTTATTCCACACTATTGTTGATACTATTGGTGAAATAATATAACAAATACTTAAACACGCTTTATATACTCTTTTATCAGAAAAAAAACTGAAACGGATGGAATTTTTTTTTATACTAATTCAGGTGTAGTAACCTGATGTCTTTTATCGT